TCCTTCTCCCCTCTCTCCTCCTCCTCACTCCCCCCCCCGTCCCCTCCCCCACCCCCACGCGGCTGACCCTGAGGCTCAGCCTCTCACTTCTCTTCTTCAGGAGCCTGGACCAGGGGATCTCACAGCCTGTCCAGGCCCCAACCCCCCTCCCCACCGAATTCCAGAGCCCTGTCTGCCAGGATCCACCTAGCACAGCAGCGCTGCTGGAGCAGGTCCACCTCCAGCGGTGCTGCATTCCCCAGGTGGGACACTGTCTCGCCCTGGACTCCTCTCTCACCATCAGGGCAGACGCCTGGGCTCTGCCCCAACACCGGAGCTGGCGGCTACTCACTCCCCACGCCCACCATGGCCCCAGCGCCCTCATATCCCAACCAGATCACTCCAACAGCCCTTCGGCTGGTCCCCTGCCCACCCCACAGCCTGTGCCCAGACAGCTAAGGCAGCGTCCTCTCCAGTTAGTTCCCATACCCCGCCTCTCTGCTCTCGGCACCAGCTGAAGGCCCAAGCCCCCAGCCTTGAGCAACACCTCCTTCCCTCTTGCTGCCTCGATTGGCCCTGTAGCACCTTGTGGGGAGCAGACTCGCCCCCTGCAGCGCCTCCCCCAGGCCACCTGGAGAAAGCTGCGCCCACTGCCGGGCTGCCTTGGGTCCCTCCCTGGCGGTGGCAGCCCTCCCGGGCCGCGACCCTCTGCCTTGTACCCCACTGCACCGCGCCTGGAATGGGGCCGACCTCCAGGAGGCGTGCGAGGCTTGCTTTTCAGCCAATTCAAGGCGAATTTTATGTATAAAGTGCAGACCGTCCTGGACGGGAAAAGGAGAGGCTGCTGGCTGAGAGGCGAGCAAGAAAATGCTGAGTTGGCCCAGGGAGAGGGGGCGCCAGCCCGCGCCTCAGAGGAGGACAGAGTGGCCATCAACTGGCTCTGCTCTCCCCACACCTGCCTTTCACCTTCCCCTCTCATCTCCCTCTCCCCGCCTCTCTCTCTTTGTCTCTCTCTCCCTCTCCCCCTTCCTCTCTCTCTTTCCCTCCCTCTTTCTCCCTCTCCCTATCTCTCTCTCTCTCTCTCTCTCTCAGCTCCATCTACACACACATATGGGTGTATACACCGGCGTGCATGTGCACATACATGTATCCGCCTGTTCCGCGAATGTCCCTGCAGGACGCTCTGTTGAGGCCTCAGCCTCACCCTATTGCGGCAGGTGATAACGTGTACTAGCCACCTGGAGTACGAGGCAGGCACCTTCCAGGGATAACTCTCCGGGAATAAACACACCACAAGCCAACAGAATGTCCGAAGTCCCTCCCAGGGGCTCTCAGTCCTCCAAGCTGGATCCACGGGCACGACACTCAGGTCCTGCCTGAGTGTCTCCAAGTACGTGCGCGCGCACAAGCGCGCGCGCACACACACACACACACACACCAGGCGGATGGAAGGTGGCTCCTCCATTTCCTTTAATTCTGTCCTGCGAGGTCCAAGCACCCGCCTACAGCAAGGCTGCCAGGATCCCTTGGTCACCATGAAAACCAGATGGGAAGGAACAGCTCAGTCTGACCTAAATTAGACATCAACTCCAGTATGCGTTTCCAAGGATGCTTCGATGATCCAGTTCACAAGTACTAATTAAGCAAGCCAGGTAAAACTATCTCCTACAATAAAAATGTTTTAAAACTGGACAAAATGGAAGAGTGTTCCCTCCTCCCAGAAATCAGAAGAAAGTTGAACAACACATTCCTAGTTCTGTGGTGCAAAGTATGAAGATAAAAAATACTCAGATAAGCTAGAAGGGCTACTTCGATTCAGAACGTCACCCAGAAGTGTGTGATGAGAACCAACAGTCTACGAGGCCGTGGCTGATAAATGTGTCTACGGAGACTGTCCGTGATGACCGTTACACAAAGCAGCAGGCAGCATCCCTGAACCAGAAGCTAGCGGGACAAGCCCACTCCAAAGCCGCTGCCTCCCCACGAGCCCCTTCCGCTCCAGACCTGACACCCACAGGACTCCGGGTCCCTGGATGGAGGCAGGCTTCACAGAGGCCGGAAGTCCCAGGGGCCCGGGGCGCGCTCTGGCGGGAGTGCTCCCTCATTCAGGAACGCGGACGCAGAATGCACAGCAATGACTTTGAATGAAATTAGCCAGTTACCTTCGTTTTCCCAGTAGCTTTGCAGCCAGTGGATATTGCACAGGGCATGTTTCTTCCATAAAAAATCTGGGACAGCTCATGAAAGGCCTCAGAAAAGAATCCCAAATCTGTAAGAACTTCTACCTGTCAAAGTGAAGGAAAATGTGATTTTTAATTAAACAATTGGTTTCACTTATCAAATAAACAGTGTGAGACAAAAATCATCAACTTTGTGAGATCCGAAGTTTCTGGTTAATGTGGGTAACGCACGGTGAATTGACGTCCACTGGACACCCGTGGACAGAGACGACGTGTCTGTGGGTCCACTCACATGTGCAGTGGGCCAACACACCGACAGCAGCGAGCGGTGCTCAAGCAACGTCTGCCCAGTGTTGCCCACTTCATCAAAGTGAGCGACATTTCATACTGTGGTAGCCGTGGAGAAGTTACGCACAACAAATTTGTCTTTCTGTTCCCATGATCAACCATGGGTTCAAAGAAACACAAAACAAAAACGCTCCCGACGTTCTTCAGCACTCTGAGGATCAAAGTCAGCAGGAGACTAACTCCACAGTATGTCAACACAGGGACAAGTGTTCATCTTCTTGTCCATAATTGAGGGACGCTGTCCACGTTACATGCCTGTATTTAACAGGATTAATCAGCCGATAACTACACATTGTTCGTGGCTTGCTTTGGATGCAATCCAGCAGGACTATCAATCAGGAAGTCACAGAAGGAAAAGGCAAGCTGCTGTGTACGGGCATCCATTCCACATGTCCATGGAGCACCACGTCACCACACCTCTCGGAGGCTGCATTCCATTGGGAGCACACTGAGCTAATCAGAGTGGCCCACGAAGAGGTTCACAGCATGAACCTGAACACAGGGCCCTAACAGATGCTCTTTCAAGACTGTGATCGGGAAGGAGTCCCCGTGGAGGAGAACTTCAAAGAAAGATGGGGTGACGTTAAGGGGAGGACACGAGAAAATCTGTACGACGTCATGCAGAGGGGCTTGAGAGCAGGAGGAGGTCAGGAGGGGGTGAGTGGCAGCCAGAAAAGGCCAAGTGGAGCCCGGCGACCAGGGTAAAATGGGGCCGGATGACCAAGGACCAGGGTCCAGTGGGGCCCGCGACCATGGCTGCGAGTCAGAGGTGTTTTGGAGGGGGACAGTGGTGACGGCTGCGCATGGCCGGTGCCACCGAGCTGTGCACCTAAAGATGCTTACGGTAGTCACGTTTAGGTTCTGCATATTGTGTGTCAATGACAGAAATTGATTTTTAAAAGGAGGTTATTGGGGCGTCCTGAACAGGGCAGGGCCTGGACCTGACTTGAGCTTGAAAGCATGCCGTGACTTTGTAGAGAACAGAGAAGGGTGGATGTGGAAGCAGGGACGCAAACGCGAGCTGGATCAAGACGTGGAGACACAGACCAGAGGAGGAAAGCAGGGAGCCCGCTCGCCCGGCGTCTGACTCCCTGGTTTCCCTTCAGTGCTCTCTCGGGAGTCAAGGGTGGGGAGTCAAGGGTGTTTACATTTGAAAGGAATACACAGAGGTGAGATCCGGGAAACCGGACAGGCACACAAATGAGCACAAGGCCAAAACCCTCGCCCGGCCTTCGCCCCAGGCAGCTCCTACCTCTACCCGGCTCTGCTCCTGACGCAGCTCCCGGATCCAAGTCCTGCCATGAATCCGCCTCCCCACCCGCCGGCGGGGCCCACGGCTCTTCTCTGTCTCTTACGCTGCTCGAGGGGGGCTTTCAGCAGCCCCCGAAAGCCGTGGGCACAGCACACGTGGCCCTGGCCTTGGATCTCTCCAGATGGCGTCCTGCAAGACTCCTGGTGGCCACCTGCCTCTGACTGACAGGCTGGAGCAGGCCGGTCCCCCGCCTGACCTCTGACCTCGCAGACCCCTCAGCTCCTCATGCCCAGCCCCCACATCTACCTCCACGGCGGGGATTCAAGATGGACCCGGAACCCCATGCGTGGCACTCGGCGCACTCGCTGTGGGGTGACAGAGTCACTCCCCAGAAGCCAACACATTCCCCTTCTACACTGGCCATCTCTGCCTGCAAGACTGCAAGGGGGTGCCCTTCCCGCTTCCTGTTCGATGACGCCTGCTCTTCTCAAGCCCAGTCCGTCTTGTCATGCCACACCCCGTCTCCCCCAGGCCCCACTTTCTCATGCCCAGGGACCTGGGTGACCTCCTGGATTTGGGTTACTCGCGTGGCGCTTGTAGACGGGGGGTGCTCAGTATACAACTTAGGTTGAAGCAATAAGTACCTACCAAGTGCTTTTTATGTGATTTGCCACTAGACACCACAGGAGTGGACAGTGGACACCTGGTAAATGTCTGCGGTGTTAAACTCAATTCAATAATTAATTATGGAATATCAAGCATGGGAATTTATTACTTGAGACACTTTAGGGAACTAGAAGATGAATAAGATACAGGTCATAGCCTCAAGAATTCTGCAGTGTTAAAGAAAGCACTGTTTAAAGAGAGAGAGAGAGAGAGAGAAGAAAGTTATATGCCATCTTTTTAAAGTACTGTTGGAACACATGAGTCCAGTGATTCGGAGGGGACGATCCAGAAATTCCCACGGTCGCTAACAAATGACTTATTCGCAAATGAAAACACACAAACGGTCGTCGCCAGGGCCCCCTCAGGAACGTCTTCATCTGGAAATGGATCGGGAGGGACTATCTGGGTCTGAAGACACTGACCCCAGGGCAGAGTCTGGGTGGGGAGAGCAGCTCAAAGGGAAGCCTGGCCTCCCCTCGTAAGAAACGGGAGGGTCGGGGAGGGAAGGGAGGAAGGGGCTTGTCCCGAAAAGGGAAAGGGGCCAGGCCGGGGGCCCTGGCGCCCCTTCCTCCTGACCCCAAGGGCTGACAATGCCCGTCCGGTCCAGCCCCTCTTCAGCGGTGCCAAGCTGGTAGCCCGATGTCGCCCTGGAGGGAGGGGTCACCCCGTGGACAGACGCACAAACACTGGAGGTCAGCGTGCGGGGCATCATCAGAGCTAGCGTGGCACCGTCACCAGCTGGCAGCACCGCGGACGGCCCCCGGATGGGAGGCCACAGTATGACATGAAGGCCAAGAAGCATCTTAAGCTCAAGAAGGACAAATACTCTATCTTCACTTGCTTGTGGTGCCTCGACTCAAAGGTCCCGGCCTTCCCAATTTTCAGGAAAGTCCGCAATAGAAGCACAGGCCTCGGGGGAACCAGCGGTGTGTGTGTCACGCGTGAGCGAGTGAGCGAGTGAAGCATGGAGCACTGGGGCCGAGGGCGCAGGACCGGGAGCAGACGCACTGGGCACGGAGGTGACCCCACAGACACAACTGATGTGGCAGGCGTGCGCACCGGGCTGATGAGGAGGGCCCGCAGGAGGACCCGGGCTAGAGTTTCCTGCACTTGGGAGTCTGTTTGGGCTCGTTAGTTCAGCTTCCAGAGCACCAAAGAGCTCCGGATACCACGATATCCCCAAAGGCCCTCAGGAGAAAACTGGCAGAAACTTAAGAACACCGGCTCCATGGTCTCCTGGAAGCCAGGTCTCAGCGGGGTGACTTCCAGGCGATGGGGCCGCGCAAGCCGTGTTTCCCCAGGTAGCCCTTCCTCACTTCACCGTGCCCCAAGCACGGAATGATCCAAACCTGCCTGGCTCTTCCTCTTATTTTATTTTGAGGGGTAAGTTATATTTGTGTCTGCTCAGCACCACAAGCACCAGCTTATCACCGTGTTGGGATCAAATGTATGCCTGACCATCTAGAGGCGGGACCCCCCAAAATGGAATGACCTCGTGGAGGGTGGGCCCCTGGCTGTTCAGGCTTCCCCCACTCGGCGAGTGTTCTGGGAACCCATCAGCATCCGTGGACCAGCTAGCACTGTGGTGAGAGGCTGCCTTCGGCTTCAGTGAACTTTTTTCTTTCTTTTTTTTTTGAGATGCAGCACATTTGCCCATTTCATGATGGGTGATTTGTGCGCGCACCTGTCTACACTGCACTGAGCACTCGGCAGTTTTTGACCAAAAAGGGCATGAGCCCCCCATGCCCGCCCCTCCCGATTTACCTCGAATCTCACCCCGAATGACTTTTTTTGTCTCCCCAGATGACAAAAGTCCTCAAAGAGAAACATCTTGCCCATGTGGAAGAGGTGAAACAAAAGCAGCAGCAGCACTAAAAGGCATCCAAACTGATGAGTTTAAAAACTGCATTGAGCAGTGGAAAAGTCTCAGTCAATGTATGGCATCAGAAGGAGAGTTCTTTGAAGGTGACTGAAGCTTAAACACGTAAGAATGAATACTAGATTTTTATAAATAAATTACCTTTTTTTGGTCCCCCCTCGTATATCCTCAGAACCCAGAGTGTCACATGTCTTCAAAGCCTGTGGCATACCTTGAGGAGTCTTGCTTCTAGGCTCCTGACTAGGTCTTGGCAAATTCCAGAAACAAAATATTGGTACAATGCAAGGAGAGGCAGAACCTGTCAGGAGAAAAACACTCATTGTTTTCAAGTGTATTTTGCCAAGTTAACAGCGTAATAATCAAATTTAGCCAACTATTAAATGCAGGGCATGTTCTGCAAAGTACTGACTGACCACCCATGCTGGGAGACTACACTGTGAGGTTTGAGTGACATGGTCGCCTGGTACGTGATTCATGATGTTACCAGAACTTGAAGATGCCATCAGAGACTGGGAGGTTCACCTAGATGACAACTGGTGCTCCAGACTTAGGGTTTTCATCTCTTTAAGCATGAAAAAGTTAAAAGCCAATTTGTCTTCCTTGAAAAAAATTAACTCAACATAAATGTAGGAATCACTGTGGCCTTTGGAAAATGCCTAGCAAATAAGCTATCAAACAAGTGCAAAATTTAAAGCAAAGGACTTCAGTCCATGTTCCCTTACTAGCTTCTGCGTAATCATTCTGTGTCAGATGCTATTTATCTTCAATTAGGATTTTTCTAGCAGCAAAAATACTTACCACATGCCTATTATGGTTCAGGCACTGTTGAATGAGAACAAAATCGAGCAAGAACCTGCCTTCACACAACTTACATCCCACTGGGATAAAATCCAAGCAGACTTCACATGACATTTTTATTTTCCTAGAATTAAAATTCCTCAGGTCCTCGATTGCTCTTGAGCCTCATGGAAATATGTGAAGGCTTACACCATCAACAGTTCGGGTGACCTGGCCACCACCCACCCAGAGACAGGAGGAGGGGACAGCTGTGTCCACTCAGGCCTGCAGCTCCTGCCGCTGTCCTGCCCAGCTGAGGGGGGGCTCAGAGAGCCTGGGGAGCACACTCTCCAGTGAGCAACTTCCCAGGGTCCCACTGCTCTGTGACCCACAGCAAAAGTTATAGTGGACAGGAGTTCCCTTAGCCGCTGGGCTTCTTCTGGGGAAGGTCAAGCGACACAAACGGGGAACTGTTTACTTCTTGCAAGTTCAGCTGGGGATCCCCTAATTGTCATCCAACCTGCAGCTGCTAATAGCAACAGCTTTTTAAAGGGATCAGAACTGGTGGTAAGTGATTTCAAACATAGTACATTTTCTATAATTATGCCCTATAAACATAGCATAATACCTTTTTATACCATTAATGCAGCACAAAACATTGAGTTGGCGATTGCTTTTGAGGCTGTTTCTTTTCTTTAGTGGGTGATAAAAACACACCATTTTATTGCTGTCAGTTGCTCAATTATTCACAAAAGCACTCTCAATTTCTTAAGCTTTAGAGAAAAAAAGTCTCATTTCTTTTCCAACTCAGTGATGATATGCATTATAGATGAGCATGACTAAGCAGCTAAAGGTGACCCAGGGGATGGAACTCTTTTTTCAGTCCAGAAATGAATCCCTTTAACAGTGAGAGGAGACCATTTTGTTATTTCTTAATAAACAATCTCTTGCCAGTCTGCCAAGTGTTAAAGTCATTAATCAACCTCCTCACTTTAACACATGGTTTTATAGCATAATAATTCATATTGGGGGCAATAGAGAGAAAGAGCTGAATTTAGAACAACAAATATGCCAAGAGAATGGAAAACAATATATGGAAAGACAGAAAGTGGGCATGAAAATTATGCAGAAAAGGGAAACAAACCAGATAAGAGAAAGAACCGATATGAAGATGCCAAGGCCGAGAAAAAGAGATGCCAAAGAAAACAGAAGAAAGAGCAAAGAGGAAAGAGACAGGAGATAGGAGGGATGCAGAAAGTGACCAGCTGTCAGGACACTAATTCATCTTTAAACGGCTATAGCTCCAAATTCACGGTCTACGCTGTGATTCTTTTCCAGAAGGGAAGGATGGCTGCATCTGGGTTTCTGGGTTTCCTTGAACAGTATGAGACGTCTGCCATTTATCTCACGGTTATTCCTGAAATGCACCTTTGACCACGGAAAGACAAGAGACACAAGATAGACTTCTCTCAATGAAGACACAGGCTCATCGTTTTGCTCTTGAGATAAACTGAAGGACTTGGTGTCGTGAGCTCCAAGCACACCCAGATCCCTGAGTCTGAGGTCAGTGACGCATTCTGGCCAATTTCACCCAATGTCTTCAGGAAAAAAATATAAAATAATAAGAGTAAAAAGAGAACAAGATCAAAGAGATGCTGCTTTTGTATCCAAAATGTGAAGAAAGAATACCTATTAATGCATTTTAATCTGAAGTACAGCTGAGAACCCAAAATATGGAGAGTTTAACGGTTAAACAAGAACTGACCAGAAGAACGTTAGCAAAATCTGATGCGTGTGAGATACGTGAGCCTCGCTGTGATTACAAAGCGTGGGCTTTAAGGATCACTTACGATCAGATCATGCTTCACAAAGTGCAGCTCACGGATCACATAATACAGACTCGCGACCACAGAGCAGAGGTCAGCCCGGAACCTGTCGGAGAAGAGCTCCAGGCCAGGCAGGAGTTGGCTGACCTCATACTGCGCGTAGGAGCGCTCCACGGTGGGGTGTGGGAGCGTGGTTCTGAGCAGGCCCTGGAAGTGAGGAAAGGGAAAGACATAGCCATAAACTGCATTTTCAACGATGAAACAAAAGTAAATAAGCACACACATTGCTTTCCAAAGAGCCTCGTATATGCCCAGCACACCGTACTCTGTAACCACAGCACCGGCCACGCATACACATCACGGTGGCTTCCACGTGCTGTCACCACTTGAGACAAACTTTTTAAACTCCTTGGAATTTGGATACTTATTCTTTTCTTTTCTTTCTTTCTTTTTTTTTTTTTTTGAAACCTCAACATCACTGGAGCACTTTATTTCTCAGACATTACACGCTCCTGGTGTATTATTTTCAAAGAAATTATCATTGCATTAAATTACCATTTGTTGGGGGTCAATTTTACATTAAATGCTTCTGGTAAATTCTTTATAAACATTATCTCACTTAATGTTCATTTAACCCACCCTTAGAAGGAAGGATTATTACCTCACAAATAAGTTATATAACTGAGGCTTAAACAATTAATTTATCTGAGGACACACAGCTAACAATGGCAGAAAAAAGAAAGAAAATCACGTAAAGGAAGAAGGGGCACACCTCATAAATGAGGGTACCTGATCTCAAACCAGGCAAAGTGGGGACCAAAGTGCAGCCCAAATTTTACCTACACAATGACCACTAGTAGATCTAACCCTGAACTGTACCCCACAACTTTACAATAAAAATAAAAGAAAGTCATGTTTACTTAACTCAAAAATCTATGTTTTTCCACTATTCCAACCTCTAAGTAGGGGAAATGAAAACTTATTTCAGAAGTCTAAATCAGGCAGAGGTAATTACAAACTTTTAACTGTGTTTACTGAAAAGATGACTTGTTTAATTTGCCCAATATTTCTTGGGTAATCTATGTGACCAACATGGCACTAGGTGCTGGGGAAACAAGATGGACACGCAAAATCCAGTTTTGCACTTAGGAGTGAATGCTTCTTTTGCTGTCTTACTAGTTAACATTTCTTGATGGCAAATGCATTATTAAATTATTCTAATGTATGTATCAGGAAGAATTTCAACCCATTTGCTTAAGGTTCTGGAGTATTCTATTCTAAAATACTATATAGTTGTTGGCATTTTCAATTTCACAAATTTGCTTTAAAATCTTACACAGAACTAACAAGCTTTTAAAGTAAATCCTAAGCTAATTTTTATTTTAGATGCAGTATAACTGAGAAATTACATTTCTCATTAAGCAAAATGTTTGTTTTTTTATTGTCTTCAGTTTTTTTTTCCTTTTCTTTTTACTTTTTATTTTAAATTCAGGGCTAGGCCTACAAATGACATTGTACAGGTAAAGTTTGGGTCTTACTTTGGTCCCCAGTTCCTGGTTTGAGATCAGGTACCCTTATGGATGAAGTGTGCCCCTTTCCCTCCTCTGGCAGTTTCCCGCTACTGCCAATTTCTTTCTCATAGTATTATGATAAATGTTCAGGGTCTGCTTATGAGTGAGAACATGTGGTATTCAGTTCTTGGCTTCTGTGATCGATCACTGAGTATGATAGACTCTAAATCCATCCAAGTTGCTGCAAAGTTCATAATTTTGTCCTTAAGACTGTAATATTCTATCATGTATATGTACAAAATTTTTTATCCAGTCCACTTTCAATGGGCAACATGGTTGGTTCCATGTTCCTGCTATTATGAATAATGATGCAATAAGCATGCATGTGCAGGTAACTTTTTCGTAGAGTGATTCGAGTTCCTCCGGGTATGTTTCCAGAAGTGGGGTTGCTGGGTCATATGGAAGGTCGATTTTTGGATCTTCTAGGAAGCGCCACACTGTTTTCTGCCGAGGCTAGCCTAGTTGGCCCTCGCACCAACAGTGTGGCAGTGTTCCCTTTGCGCTGCATCCTCTCCAGCTTTTTTGAGTTATTGGTGATGGTCATCCTGGCTGCAGTTAGGTGGTATCTCAGTGTGGTTTTCATTTGCGTTTCTTTGATGATTAGTGAGATTGAACATTTTTTCATGTATCTGTTGGCTGCTCGTATGTCTTCTTTTGAGAAGTGTCTGTTCATATCTTTTGCCCACTTTGTAAAGGGATTGCTTTTTTCTCCCCCCCTTTTGGCACATTTGAGTTCCTTGGGGGTCCTAGATGTTAGGACTTTGTCAGCTATACAGTTGGCAAATGTTTTTTCCCATTCCATGGGCTGTCTCCCCTCTCTTTATGGTTACTTTTGCTTTGCAGAAGCTTTTCAGTTTGATGAGGTTCCACTTGTCTATCTTATCTCTTATGGCATGGGCGCTTGGAGTTTTGACCAGGAATTGGTTGCCAGACCCAATTTTCATAAGGGTGTCTCCTGCATTTTCTGAGGTTCTTATAGTTTGAGGTTTTCCGTTAAGATCCATTGGGAGTTGATTTCTGTGTATGGTGATAGAGGTTCTGTTTGAATCTTCTGCATGTGGTCAGCCAGTTTTCCCAGCACCATTTACTGAATAAGTTCTCCTCTCCCCAGTGGTTGTTTGTGGAGGCTTTGTTGATGATGATTTGGTTGAGAAATTGAGGTTTTGCTTCTGGAATCTCTATCCTGTTCCATTGGTCTATATGCCTGTTCTTGTACCAATACCAGGCTGCTTTGATTATTGTAGGCTTATAATAAAATTTAAAATCTAGAAATGTGTTACCACCCACTTTGTTTCTTTTGCTGAGGATTGTTTTGGCTATTTGTGGTTGTTTATGTTTCCATATGAATTTCTGTATTGTCATTTCCAGGTCTGAGAAGAATGATGCTGGCATTTAACGGGTATTGAGTTAAATCTGTGAATTGTCTTGGGTAGGATGGACATCTTAACAATGCTGGTTCTTCCAATCCATGAGCACGGAATATTTTTCATTTGTTTGTGTCATCTTTGATTTCTTTGAGTAGTATTTTGTAGTTCTCATTGTAAAGGTCTTTCACTTCTCTGGTTAGGAAGATGCCAAGGTATTTCATTTTTTGTTGCTGTTGTTGCTATTGTAAATAGGATTGTGCTTTTCTCTGCCTGTTTGCTGTTGGTGTATGCAAATACACGTTGATTTTGGACCTTGAGACTTCGCCAAAGTCCTTTTTCAGTGCTAGAAGGTTTTTGACAGATTCTCTTGGATTTTTGAGGTATAGAATCATATTGTCAGCAAAGAGGGATAACTTAACTTCCTCTTTTCATATTTAGATGCCCCTGTTTTCCTTCTCTTGTCTGATTGCTCTAGCTAGGACTTCCAACACTATGTTGAACAGGAGGGGTGAGAGTGGGCAGCCTTGTCTTGTTCCAGTTTGCAGGGGAAATACTTTTAATTTTTTCCATTTAGCAATATGTTGGTTGTGGGTTTATTGTAGATGGCTTACTATTTTAAGGTATGTTCCCTCTATGCCCAGGTGTTCAAGAGTTTTTATCAAGAAGGGATGCTAGATGTTATCGAAAGCTTTTTCAAGATTTTTTTGAATCGCCCATTTTCTAAAGCGCTGTCTTCAAGAACAAGGAGCAGCAGAAGATGAAGACTGCAGTGTGCGAGTCAGGCCAGACAAGCGTCCCGCATCCCTGCTCCCCCCCCCCACATGCAGGAGGTACACAAGCGGAAGGAGACAGATTTGCAAAAGCCACGTGAGAAGCTGTCACGACTCAGATCTCATAAACCAGCGGGTGCCTCTGACACACAGACAAGATCCAGCCTTCAAAGCAAGCAGGACCTTCCATAGACTGAATCTCAACCCCCCCAGGACATCTTGCATACTGGATCAAAGCTCCATTCTTCCTCAGTGAAGTCAAGCCACTGTTCTGAGGACGGCACACGCCTCTTCTGTGGCCTCAGCCCTTGTTTCACCTTCACTAGAAGATCCGTTTTGTGTCATGTAACCATGCAGAACTTAATCTAGAAACGAGGTAACCTAAGATCACACAGATGGGCTTCACCCTGAGTAAGTGTGACCTTACCAATGACAGGAGGCTCAGTTTCCCTTTCTATAAAGCTCCTTCTTCCAAAAGAGAAAACTGGCGGTGAATACTAAGGTGAAGGTGCCATAGGCATTAGGCCAGTGAAAGAAAGATGGGCTTGTGATAGCCAATCAAGGCATGAGCTGGTCTGCTACTGAGGGCTGTATGAATATGATAAACAAAAGCACTGTTGTTAGGGTTAAAGTTAGGGTTAGGGTTTAGGGTTAGGGTTAGGTTTAGGGTTAGGATTTTGGTTGGGGTTAGGACTTGGGGTTCAGAGTTAGAATTCGCTGTTGGTTTGGGATTGGGATTGTGTTAGGGGTTAGAAGTGAGGGTTAGGGTTAGGGATATGGTTTCGGTTAGCATGTGGTTTATGTTGAGCTTGGGGCTGTTGTTAGGGTCATGATCAGAGTTAAGGCTAGGGTTACTGTCAGGGTCAAGGTCAGCATTAGGGTTATGATTAGGTTTAGAGTTTGGTTTTGTGTTAGGGTTAGGGTCAATTAGAATTGGGGTCATTGATCAATATGGTTTAAGTTAGGGTTTACAGTAGTGTTAGGTTTAGGTGTATGGTTGGGGTTAGGTTTAGTGTTTGGGTTAGTGTTAGGGTCAGGGTCAGGGTCACGATCAATGCCAGGGCCTCCCATTGGTCCCACTTTACAGGGTTTGAGATCCGATCTCCATATTGACGTCGTTTGTTCCTCCTCCCCTATCAGCTTCCTGCTACTTCCAATCCCTTTCTTGTAGTATTATGATAAAAATCAGGGTCCACTTATGAATGAGAACATGTGGTACTCAGATCTTTTGTTCTTTGATAGGTCACTGAGTATTATAGACTTTAAACCCATCCAAGTTGCTGCAAAGTTATATATTTTCCCTTCTTTATGGCTGCATAATAGTCCATCATGTACATGTACCACATTTTTTTTTACCCAGTCCTCTTTCAATGGGCAGCATGGTTCGTCCCATGTTTTTGCTATTGTAAATAATGCTGAAATAAACATGTGTGCAGTTGTCTTTTTCATAGAGTGATTTGAGTTCCTCCAGGTATATTCCCAGAAGGGGGATTGCTGGGTCATATGGAAGGCTGATTTTTTAGATCTTTTAGGAATCACCACATGGTTTTCCATCGTGTTTGTACTATTTTAACTCCCACCAACAGTGTAGAAGTGTTCTGTTTTGCCTGCACCTTCTCCAGTATATTTGTTTGTTATTGATGATGGCTATCCTGACTAGAGTTAGGTTGTATCTCAGTGTGGTTTCAATTTGCATTGCTTTGATGATTAGTGAGCATTTTTTTCATGTACCTGTTGGCTGCTCATATGTCTTCTTCTAAGAAGTGTCTATTCAAGTCTTTTGCCCACTCTTTAATGGGGCTGTTTCTTTTTTTCAGTACATTTGAGTTCCTTGTAGATCCTGGATATTAAGCCTTTGTCAGATATACAGTTGGCAAATATTTTTTCCTGTTCTGTGGGCTGTCTCCCTGCTCTCTTGATGGTTTCTTTTGCTTTGCAGAAGTTTTTTTGTTTGATGAGGTCCCACTTGTCTATCTTATCTCTTATGGCATGAGCATTTGGGTTTTGACCAGGAATTGGTTCCCAGTTCCAATTTCCTCAAGGGTGTTTCCTGCGTTTCCTAAGATTCTTATAGTTTGAGGTTTTACATTTAGGACTTTGATCCATTTAGAGTTGCTTTTTGTACGGTGGTTAGTAGGATTCCTGTTTCATTCTTCTGCATGTGGAAAGCCAGTTTCCCACCACCATTTACTGAATAGGTTCTCCTCTCCCCAGTGGTGGTTGGTGGAGGCTGTGTCAAAGATGAATTGGTTGAAAAATTGAGGTTTTGCTTCCGGAATCTCTATCTTGTTCCCTTGGTCTACATTGGTCTATAAACGACCATGAATAGCCAAAACGAACAAACAAACAAAAACACCAAAGCAGGAGGTATCACACTTCCAGACTTTAAACTTTATTATAAGGCTACAACAATCAAAACAGCCTGGTATTGGTACAAGAACAGAGTTATGGTGTGAATGGCCATACCACCACAGAAAACACACTGAAGGGTTGCCTGAAATGCAAACAATCAGGGTTGTGGTTAAGGTTAGGGTTAGGGTCAGGGTTAGGGTTAGCATTAGGGTTAGGGTCAGGGTTAGGACTTGTGTTAGGGTTAGGATTAGGGTTAGGGTTAGTGTTTGTGTTAAGGTTAGGGTTAGTATTAGGGTCAGGGTTAGTGTCAGGGTTAGGGTCAGGGTATGGGTCAGAGTCAGTGTTAGGGTTGCAGTTAACGTATGAATGGCCACGCCACCACAGAAAACATTCTACGGGTTACCTGAAAGAGTAGTGCAGACAAAAGGCAGCAGTCAGTTCTCTTTCCAACATCCAATGATTTTATAAATCTAAATAAGCACAAGAATAACCCACTGATTTTAGTACTCTTCCACAAACATTCTGATATCTGTCTTTAGACATATATCTAGAACACCAAAAATACAATAAAAAGGTATATATTTATTAATGAGAAATATATTAGAAAAGTTCAAAACCACCCATTTTCCTAATACCTATGCATGATTACTGGAAATATTTTCGTCTGTTTCCACCTAGACTTTATTCTGTATGTAGTTGTACACATGTAGAATGGCACACATAAGTGCATATTAAGGCTAGAATTATGCAATTCATATTCGTTTGTGAAAAAGGTTTCCATTCACACCCATAATGAACTAATAGGAAAAAGTCAGCCTTGACATGGGTCTGCCTCTTTCCTGCATGACACTTCTAAGGCATGCTACTTGCTTACTTCCCCGGCTGAAGACGCTGATTTTCTGCGGCCTTGAGACTGCTAACAAGAAAAGCTTCCATTTTTATTTTCTCTGTAGCTTCCGGGTGTGCAGGCTTTGCCCGCTGCCCCTGTGGGTAGCTGACAAAGTGACCAGCTGGGAAGGAGCCCAGGCCACTGTCCCCACCACGCCTCCTAAATGTCTCCTGCTCACCAAACACTTCCGCCACCTGTGAGTGCTGGTGCTCTGTAGACCATGTGTAGACCGTGGCTAGAGACAGTCACGTGTGCGTAGACGTGACTGCCATGTGTGGTGGCCTGAGTAATGCCCTCGAGGATCGGCATGTCCTGATCCCCAGAACCTACGAGCAGGTGAGCTTACAAGGCCAACGAGAGTCTGCAGATACGGTCACAGGGAGGCTCATCACCCACCACCAGAGACAGAGACTCGGAGACCGGACAGCCGCCACCTGCCTCCAGCACTTGCGGTCACGCGCCCCTGTCGTCTGAGCCCCGGCTGGCCGCCCTTGGGATGGCAGCCCCGGCACGCTGTGCAGAGTCAGTGATGCCTGTGGACTTAGGCCACACCGGCCCCCTCCCCGCTGCCCTTCCTCCTCCACGCCAGCCACTCTTCACACGTGCTAGCTCTACAAGCGGTGACGGAATGCCAGCCCCCGGTCAGGCGCCAGGACCCATTGGTGACTGAACAGATGCCAGGGCCACTCAGGGCGTGGTCCACGAGTGTGGCCATTCGGGGCGGGCTGTGTCACAGGACAGGAGAGGCTCGTGGACAGGGGCTGTCCCAAGCGTGTGCCCCTGCAACCCCGTGTGGGAGACCCGACACCTGGGAGCCGGTGGGGCCCCACGCGGCACTCACTGGGCTATCTTGGCCGACACAACAGCTCCTTGCAGGCAGCCCCAGATGCCGACCATCGACAGGAACGCCTCGCTGTAGTCCCGGGAACCCGGGACCGTGCGGCTGCTGGCGGTGCTGGCGGGGGCCGGGCCCAGCTCCTTCCAGGTCTGCAGCACGTCTGGCTTTCTGAAGATGTCATCGAGAGCTTGACACCAGCACTTGAAAGCAGCCCTAGGATGGAACCAGAGCCGCACATGCGTTCCTGAGACCGCGTGACACCTCCGCGGGGACAGCCAAGTCTGCCGTCCACACGGAGGGTGAGCCCACGCCACTCACTCCCTGCGCCCGGCGACTTCTCTCAGGCAGCACTTGGGGACCCAAGTGCAGCAGGGTCGTGCGACTAAAGAACTAAGATTCAGGAAGGATGGTCTCTTTGCAATCATTAAGGCCATTTTCAAACAGGCAAGCGAGACACAGGCCGGTCCTGGCGACTCTCAGCAATCTACCTGTTCTTCCCCGCAAAGATGAGAAGGCTCCCGAGGGTGTGCAGTGCCTGGACTTTCAGGCTTCTCTGATTGCTGGCCTGGAGGACATCTGTGTGTTCAATCAAGTAGAAGAACAAATGTTAGTTCCTGGAAAACGTTCTCTGGCTATTTGCAAGAATAGCTTAAACAGCATTACTCCTTCACTTTGTAGCTTGCCATAAGTGAACGGCAAGGTGCCAGGGCCTCAGGAGGTCACACGGTGTACACACAGAATGAGCAAGCCCCATTCCGGCTGAGCAGAGAGAGAGAGACCAGGGCTAACCAGGAGGCTTCACGGAGCCTGGGATGGAGGACTCGTGGGTAGAGGCAGTGAGGAGAGACACCCAGAGGCACATGGAGAGCGGCCAGCATGTGAGGGGATGACGGGGGTGGCCACAGGGCTCAGAGGTGGTGGTCAGACCCTCTGTGGGAAGTGTGGCTGTATCCCAGCGCGGGGAAGGCGCCAAGGGCTTGCTGCTTAGCAGACAGGTGACAAGACCACGGCGTACCTGACTTCCCCTTTACCTGAATGCAGAACACATCTCTTTGGTATCATGTGGGTGTTCTGTGCAAGCATTCGGGGACGTGCCAAGGCGTGCAGCAGACACGAGGCCCTGGTTCCGGGGAGAGGGTGCTGCCTCCTGGAGAGTATTTTAGAAAACTGCAGGAGGCTTTGTCTGATGCTGCATCTCCTGGTAACTCAGGTTGGGACGAAGAAGCTGGCTGCCTGCAGGGCACAGTAGCTCCCCCAGGGAAGGAAGGGACAAGAAACCCGCTTGCAGTGACCTGGGCCTGGCATCTAACTGTGTTCTGCTCATTCGCAGGGTATCTTTGCATGTCTCTAATGTCCCGAATTTTCCAGAAATGCAACCACTGTAGAGCTCTGTTTTGTTCAGAACTTGGCCAAAACTTGTTTGCCAATTTAGAAAATCGTGCCACAAAGCTTAAGTATCTGATAATACCTGAGCCACCAGCACAGCACGTCTGCGTAGTGCAGGTGTCGAGGTCGGGGTGTCTGACTCCGCCTGCACACCCTCCATCGCCCGCGCGCCTGCACACTACACGCAGACCCTTTCAGTGTACGCTGATTTTGTTTTCAGGCTCAATTTTTATATTTAGAGCGTCACAGTGATTGTTTTCAAAATGCCACATGTAAGAAGACTTTATTAAGCATCGACTTTCTTTCAGGAAGGAAAGGGGAGGTTATAAATGTCTGTTAGGAAAAAGAGGGGCACCAGGTCCCTGATCAGGGCTAAGAATCCTCGTAGGCAACCGAACCTGCCAAAACACCAAAGCAAGGGAAGACAAGGAGATGGACCAGCTGGGCCAGGTCTCCAGACCCTCGTTCTTATCCCCACAAGGGCCACAGTCCCGTCGAGGGATCACACGGTGTGGCCTGAGCCCTCACGGGCAGCAGCGGGACAGGAGGGGCTGGAACACCATGTCCCCACCACCTGTCCCTGCTTGGAGTATGACCCCCAGACTCCCAGGCATGCACCCCCCATCCTGCTGTGAAAGGTCACACTCGGGACCAGACACGTCTCCATGTGAATGCACAAGATCGTAGCACCATCTTAGAGACCCCCCGCCCCATTTTACTAGTGACCCTGGGATGGAAAACTCAGACTGAAACAACATCCCGCCATATGTAGCATCCTGTCTCTCACCTAGCTTAACTGCAAGACTTTCTCTTCCCTTAACCACAAGCCTTAGTTACTCCCTAGCAACATCCACCGCAAAAATCCCCCTAGCCCTACAGCTGCAGGTGGGTTTCAGCTTTCCGGAGCCCCCCCACCCCCCCCCCCCCCCCCCACTCCCAGATTCCCGGGCTTGGAATAAGCCTGCGTTGCTGTGAAGCCGCCCCCTCCCGTCTCTCCCTTCCTATCTGCTCGCCTTCTTGCCCTGGCAGCGCAGGCAGCGAGCCGAGGCGGACCCACCGATGGTCTGGCGGTAGGAGGCCAGGACCAGCCCCAGCTGCGAGCGCGGCAGCTGGCTCTTCTCCACGGAGCTGAACACCCGGAAGTGCTCCCGCGACAGGTCGGGTGGCGCCGGCCGGTGCATCTCCTCCGTCCCCAGGCAGAACTCCACCTTCCCCAAGGAGAACTTGGGGTTGTTGATCTGGCCCCTCTCGCCTAAACTCGCAAGGAAGTACAAGCCAAAGTCAAACGGAGAAGGCAGCGCGGAGGCGGGAAAGGCAGAGGCCTGGGAGGGGAGCGGGCAGCTCCGCCCCGGCTGGGCCTGGCACACCCTGAGGGCCGCTGGCTCCTGGACCGCGGCTCAGGGCCCGCCCGAAGAGCCCAGGGGTGTGTGGACGGGCTCCCGGCCGTGCTTTTGCGCCACAGCACTGCAGGGAGGTAGGCGGCCCCGAGAACTCTGAGGCCACCCTGCTGCCTGTTGGGAGTCTTAGGGCTGAGTGGACCTCAGATCTACTTTTGATTGATGTTTGCTTATTTTAGAGCTGTGGGTACGGGTGAGGCTTTCTACATGAGTCCACTGCGTGCAGTTGAGGGCCAGCAGCAGCCTCTCTCTCCGACCGTGGCCATGGGCCAGTCTGCCTTTCTATACAGCTTCCTGGAAGACGCGGGTCTGCCTCTGGGGCAGAAACCTTTGGGGTGTGACAACGCATCGGGGATTCCGGCCTGAGACAGAAACAAAGAGGAAAGGACCTGTTCCGAGAACAGAGAACACGCGGGAAACACACTCCAGGCGAGGTGTCAAAGCCACAGAGAGAAGCTAACACCGACTTTGGCGCCTGCACCCCGGGGGACGGTGCCGGCGGACCCTTTTGGGCTTTCCTGTGAATGTGGTGTCGGGTGAGATTCGGAGCAGGCTGGTGTGAGCCGTTCCTAGGGCGCGAACGTGGTGTTTACCCATGCCCTCGCCCATCATGAAGGCAGGAGTCACTGAAAGACGGTGAAAGTGGCCGGAGCTCACCCAACATGGAGCCCGTAGACAATACAACCAAGCCTGCAGCAACAGGTCCTAAACAGGGCGGGGGGCGCGGGGAGGCGCAGAGACGAGAGGGCAGCAGCTGCAGCAAACAAGTCAGTCCAAAAACAAAAACAAAACTGCCTCTGGCGGGGCGGGTTGGCTCAGGGGAAATTGGAAAATTACCTTAATGAGGTATCTTACAATGTATTTCAATAACTTCATAATGACTTTAGGTTTATTTTTTAAGATTACTCTTACTAATCCAGTCAATTTGACCAGCAAGGACCCTAAAAACGATTAGGCTTTGTTTTGATGTGAAATAACCAGCCTATATTTGAGTGCCTTCTTCTCTGGGCAGCTTCTAGCCACGCAGGGTCCTGCCTGGCTTGAGTTCACAGACGGAGAGACTTCAAGAGAAAGAAAACAAATAAACATAGTGCATCCAACGAGGGTGAGTGACTTGGTTCAAGCTAAAGGCACTCTCGAAGGTCAGAATCTCTGGGATTAAGAAGAAATCTTGTTAATGTGTGCTCTAAAACGCATCCATTTCTCTGACACGGGCAAGGCGGGGTCTTGGTAAAAACTCGGTGTGACCCAATCCATGGGCTTAGGAAAGTGAAACCAGAAGTCACAGCAGCATGCCCGCAAGGAAGCCACAGGAACACGGAGGCACAGCATGGAGGGTCCTGAATGGCACCTCCATTTCTGCTGCCCTCAGGGTGGCGGGCTGCACAGAGGGCATGAGCGCGGGTGGCTGGGGCTGTGCCTTGGGGGAGGAAGGGCAGGGGGCGGGCCACCACCCCGGAGAGGGCCAGGGCATCGGGCAGACATCAGGGGAGAGGAGGGCAGAATGGGACGTCTGGGGTCCCCTCCGAAAGAAAGATTCAGGGAAGCAAACAAGCTGGTACCTTGTGTCTGTGCAAGCAATAGCGAAAGCAACTTCCTGCTGTGTCGGATTGATCGGCTGTGGTATTTGGATTTTTCCAGCGTCTCTCTGAAGCACCTCAAGGTGTCGGTCACGTCCACGGGCACACAGACCAGCGCCTTGGCATGGCTGTATTCTGAAAGGGCGGAGGAGGGACAAGGATGAAACGGCGACCCAAGCCAGGCAGGGGCGGGCGAGCTTCCAAGCCGGAGGATGTCCTGGTCCCCCCTAAAGTTGCTTCATTCAGAGCCCCCAGATCTGCAGCCGGTGTGTCCACACGCTGATCATTTTGTTCCTTTTGGTGCGTTTGAAAGTTCTTTTTAAAGGAAACTTGGAGAACTTTGGATTCTTATGAAATGCAAATGACTTTAGATCTTGCCAGTCTTCTACTTCTCCTTTTGCTGATCAAAAAAAATGGAGTAATCTAGTCTTTTGGGGAAGGATCTTCAAAGAAAGGTGTCTCGGGCAAGAAGAAGGCGGAAACTAAGAACTTGGAGCCAGGCAGGTGCTCCCTGCAGGGAGGAAAAAGCCAGGTCCAGGTTCTGGAGGGCAGGAGGGGAGGCCGGGGGGCACCAACGCCGGCCTGGGGATGCCAGAGTGGGAGCAGGGGAGCTGTCGGGGGTCCAGGCCTGGGAAGGAGAGGGCAGATGTGTCGCCCATGTGGGCAGGCCCCGGACAGGAGAACACGGGCGGCAGGACTGAGCCACAAGAGGATGGGCCGACGTCCTTCACAGGCTGACACGCGGAACGAGCGCCCCGGGCATCAAAGGGCTTGGCTGCCGAGCAAGGCCCGGCGATGCTACTGTGGAGGGGAAGGGGTGTGACCTTTGCCCTCAGGAAGCCACAGTCTAGCGGAAGAGGGGCGAATTCCAAGCGCTGAGGAGGAGAAGCCACATTTGCAGGGAGGGTCTGGCTACGGACAGAATGGAGGGAACGGCAGAAGAGCAAGACCCGCCAAGAGGAGCTGGTAGGCAGCGAGGCCACGCAGGCGAGGCCGGCCAGAGTCCTGGAGCCTCCCGGGAGGAAGAGGGGGGGGCCTCACGCCCCGAGCGTGGCTCTGAGTGGGCACCATCGCCCTCTTGCTCCTCACGCCGCCTCCTCCCCAAGAGGGACGCGGAACCACACGACTGCCTCTTCTTCCACGTGACGCCTCCTTCCTCCAAGCTGCGCTGCCAGAAACAGTCCAGACGGGCTTCTCATTGACAGCAAGCAAGCGAGGACATTCCCGAACCTTCCCTTGCGCTCTCGCGGAAACACGTGCCGCGGTAAAGCCAACAGAGCTGCTCACACTGACTGTGGAAATGGAAGTTGTTCTGGGAATCGAGACGGAGCAAAGGAAATGTCAGCGGGGCCGGCGCAAGATGGAAATGGGGGAGTGTGCAAGACAGCCTTTCCCACCTCTATTTTTTCCCATCAGTTCCCCTTTTCCTTTTCTTCAACTTATACTCTTTGACTCACAGGTTAAACTAAAAAAAATTGCATTTTCCTCTCCTGTCAATGACACTGTCAGCAACAGAAGACGGTAAGTGTCAAATGTATTCTTTTCAGCCAAATAAACCTGCAAATGGGATTTGTGTAAACATACTAATTATGGAACACTTGACACGCAAAACACGACGGCAAGCCTCGGCTGAAGTCAGGGAAGCGTCCAGTTAAGACTGGCTCTGACCTGCGTCGATGAGCTTTCTCAGGAAGTCTGCGCCGTCTCCTGGGTCTATTAGCTCAGTGGCTGAGGAATTAATCTTCAGCTGCTTCCCAACAAAATTTCGGCAGGTTATCTTCAAAAGAAAAGACAAAAACAAGTATTACTTAGTATGGCTGAAAATGTGGCACACTGGAAATGCTTATCTCATTTTTTATTGATCAAAATAGATACCAAACAATGTTACAAATGAAACCCAAAAGAATCGCATGCAATCTTAAGAACGTTCAGGAAAACAGTGGTTTCATCATCTTTCATTTTCCTTTTGTCGAGCACAGCGGGAGGAGTATTAGGCAAATGATGCGGAGCAACTAGAATATGATTTCCTAATGGTCTGTGAACTGTCTCGTCTAAGTATACCTTCCACGGTGCACGTCCAACACCCCACACACAATCAACGTTATGTTGGCGTCCCTGGTGAAGTCCCTCGGAACGAACTTCCTCTCTAGTCTCTTGGCAAGCTGTTTTCTAACATGATTGAGTTCTAAAACTATAACGTATGTGAAAACAGAAAAGGTCTAAACAGAAGAAAATTCTTGGAATGGGTCCCAGGCCCTCACGGCCACTCCCAGCCCTAGACCTCGGTCTAGTGCGGATGCTTCTTCTGCTTGTCCCGTGTGGGTCCTTCTCCCCTGAGGTGTCAACACAGGTAAGAAGTGCGAATCCCTCCCTTCCGCAGCCCAGCAGACCCCACCTGACCTCATCACTCTCTCTCTCAGGCTGCATCAGCGAGGGGGCCGAACCCTGCTCCAGGCTGAGAGGATGAGGGAGCAGGGAGCGAAATGAACAAAAGTGAGCCAAGGCTCATGAAGCACACTCCAGTGGGAGGAGAGAGAGCCAGCCAAAGAATGGAGCACACTGCCTGGAAGACTCCAGGAGGTAGAGGGACAGAAGCTGGCAGTGAGGCCACCTGTAGGGAGGGCAGGGAAGAGCTCACAGAGAATGCGGCTCGGCACGGTCGGAAAAGCTGAGGGAAAGCCCCTGTGGGTGTCTGCGGACGAGAAGCCCAGGCAGGGGCTGGCCAGGGCACAGGCCCTTAGGCAGCAAGCCGTCAGAACCAACGAGCATGTGTGACAGGAAGGCCACGGTGCAGGCATTCACTTGACACTGAGTCAGAGGGCAAGTCACCACAGGGACTAAGCAGAGTGTGACACAGCTGACGTGGTTCTCCAGGGTTACTCTCTGCTGCACTGAGAACAGAGGACAGGCTGGAGGCAGGGTTTGAGGCATCCATCCCAGCAAACATGACGGTGTGTGGACCACAGAAGGAGCCATGGACCAGGGGGAAGTGTCTGAGTAGAACTGCCTTTTCAGGGTAGAGGGTCCATCACCAGTTGGACGTGGAGTGTGAGGCGGGAGGGCAGCCAGGGATGTCTCCCCGGGTCTGTCCTGAGCAGCCAGAAGACTGGACTTGGCAGCAATTTGAGAAGACCTACGGACAGGCCCGTCTGCAGTGTGCTAAGTTTGAGAGGTGGCTTCCACGTCTAAGAGACGCTGTTGGTGAGGCGGGGTGAGGGTTTTTCATGGCACGACCGGCGAGGGCCCAGTGGCGAGGAGGAGGAGAGGGCCGTCCCCATCCGCAGCGCACACGCCATCCAGTCATGCCATCAGCACCAGTCCGGGTGCTGCTGTGAAGGGGCCGTGCAGATGCCCACGGAAGTCCCCGATAAACTGAGAGGAGCCGGGGACACGACCCCCAGCAGCCTGGCCTACTCAGGCGCGTCCTCAACGTGCCTTCAGGTCCCAGGACTCAGACCCAACAGCAGTCAGGTCTGCAGTCGCCCTGTCTTCACGGGACCATCCCCCACTGCCCGCCCACTGGCAGCAGCCTCCATCTAGGCTTGTGGGCCCTTCCTGCTCATGGTCCTGACTACCTGCCCTGGACTCTGGGCTTGCTCAGACAGCACCCACCGTCCCATTGGACAATTCACTGTCATCTACTCTGGTAGGTAGGTAGGTAGGTAGGTAGATAGATGATAAATTAGATAGATAGATAGATAGATAGATATGAATAGATCGGTAGGTAGGTAGGTAGAAGATAGATAGATAGATAGATGTGAATAGATAGGTAGGCAGGTAGGTAGGTAAGTAGGTAGGCAAGTAGATGATAGGCAGATAGAGGATGGATAGATTGATAATGGATGGCTGAATGATAAATAGATGAAAGATTAATAGATGATAGAGAGACAGATGATAAACAGATAACAGATATATTGATAGAGAGATAGATGGTAGATAGAGGATAAACAGGTGACAGATGATAGATATAGGTAGATGATAGACAGACAATGGATGAAAGAGAGGTAGATTTGAATAGACAGGTAGGGAGGTAGATGGTAGAGACAGAGAGAGAAAGAAATAGATAAAAGATGGGTAGATAGATAATGGATGGAGGAATGACAGATACACACATGATAGATAAATAGACAGATAGTAGACGATAAATAAAAAGATGACAGATAGATAACAGATATAGATAGATAGATGATAGAAGTAAGGAAGGAGGGGGGAAGGAAGGAAGGAGAAAGAAAGAAAGCAAGCCAATAAGTTGGGTAGATAGGTAATGGCTGGATGAATGATAGAAAGATGATGGGTGGACAGATGAGAGACAGACGGTAGAAGATAGGTAGACAGATAACAGATGATGGATGGATGGAAGCCAGACAGACAGATGTGATATTGAAAGATGGAGGTTTGGCCCTTAACCCTGTCTCCTGGCATGCAACTCCTAAAATCCTTGGGATCTCCAGAGTGATGCTTTGTGTGTCCTCATGAGATGACTGGTGGCTGGCAGCCCCCAGAAAGACCAAGCGGGATCAGGACCTGCAGCCCTGTCTCTGCAGAGGGGGCAGGGGCTGAGGGCTGTCGATCACCAACGACACGTGATGCAATCAGTGGTGCCTGCGTGGTGGAGTCTCCATACACACCCAAAGGGACTTATCAGGAGCTTGGGGACAGCTGGGCATGCAGCGGCTCCAGGAGGGCGTGCCCTGCCCCACACGGCTCTCCATCTGGCTTCTTTACTGGAAACCTGCAGGCCTACTAAGTGCTTCCCTGATCTCTGTGAGCTGCTCCAGCAAATTCACAGAACCAGGAAGGGGTGGGCACCTAGGCGGCTAGCCTGCCAGTCAGAAACACAGATCACAACCTGGCGCCTGAGGTCGACGCTAGCAGTGGGGCCCCGCCTCGGCTGTGTGCTCCGACGAAGTCCGAGGACGCCCCACTGGTGTCCGCTGCGGAACCGACTTCCTGCTGGCTGGTGGGGAGACACCCCCATACATCTGGCGCCAGCATCGCGTGGCGAGAGGATGTTGGGAGGCACCGGGCTTGTCCTGCTCAGTGGAGGGGACAGACCCATCTTGCTGATCCCACTCTTCTGGCAGAGGCCTGGCTGGCCAGGCTGTTAGATACCCAACACGAGGCCCAAGAGAAAGGTCTTGGTTTCAATAGCCGTTGACATCGAGAGGCTTCTCAGAGCCACGGGCTGTGCTGACTCACTGGGGAGCCTGTGGAGGGCAGGGCAGGGGACCCAGGACAGAGTCTCTCGGGCACCAATGTTAAGGCCTGGGAGGAGGAAGACGCACCAACAGGACCCAGGCGCGCCCCCCTCCGCCAGCCCCCGCCTCGGCAGCCCGGCCACGAAGGCCTCCTTCTCCAGCTCGGGCATGGCCGGCCCCCTCCCCAAATGCCTCCACCGTCTGGCGGCCCATCACCCCCACCAGGCCTCTGCCTCCGGTCCAGCCCGTCCCTGGTCCATCGACCTGTCTCATTTCTCCAGGGACCCTGTAATGACCAGAAACCATCTCTGGCCCTGTCACCACGCTCAGAAGTCACGCCCCACAGGCAGGAGCTCAGGCTGCACGCTCAGTGCCCAGGACACACAGTGGGCATGGAGGCCCCACACACACGTGGCTGGCATGGGAGCAGGGACTGGCCTCAGCCCATGAGCAGGGCACAGCCGCACAGCCCCGTGCAGCGGCTCTGCGCAGGTGGCCGGGGTGTGTCTGCCACGTGAGGAAAGGGGAAGACTCCCGGCCTCCTCTTTGCCTGACTCAGGCTGTGCCTCGACTTCCATGGGCCTCGCCACTTTGCCTCCATGGGCCCATCCCCCCATTAACGACACCCAGAGCTATCTTTTATGATTGTGTTGGTATAAATATGAAAATATCCATAGCAAACATTGAAACATTTGCTTTGACCTACAAGTTACTTGTTTCTCCTTATTTTAAAGAAATTAAGGCTGGGCACAGTGGCGCACACCTGTAATTCCAGCACTTTGGGAGGGAGGGAGGACTGCTTGAGCCTAGGAGTTCGAGACCAGCCTGGTCAACATAGCAAGACTTCATCTCTATGAAAAATAAAAAGTTAGCAAGGTGTAATGGTGGACATATGTAGACACAGCTACTTAGGAGGCTGAGGCAGGAGGATGGCCTGAGCCCAGGAAGTCGAAGAGGCAATGAGACGTGATCGTACCACCGTGCTCCAGCACGGGTGACAGAGTGAGACCCTGACTCAAAAACACATTAAAGCAGTGGTCCCCCACAAGTGCTGTGGGCTCCAGACACTGGGCCTGCTGGGGCCCTGGACAAGCCGGTCCTGCCTCAGCAGAGGAGTCTCGCTCACCCTGTCTTGGGCACACAACAGGCCCCAGTCATGTCTGTTGATGCCAAGGACAAACGCCTAGACGAAAACGATGCTGATCTCCTTCCCGAGTCTTTGCAGTTCGGCACACCTACCTTCTCCCCATGCTCGGCCTCGTACCGTGCACACGCCTGCTGAGCAACATCTGGGCCCTTGAACTTGAGGACTCTCAGGAGAAGCTGGCGCTGCGCGAACACAAGGAGTGGCGTCACCTGCTCTGTGTACCTCTCGCTGCACAACGGGAAAGACACATCATGCAGCAAACGTGAGAAGAGGGCTTTCTCCGGGAAGGGCAATCCCCGCAAGGCGTGCAGGACTTACTGTGAAACTGCGTTGAACTGGATGGCAAGTGACACCAGTGTTTCCCACTTCTCCACTTGGTATAAAACTTCCAGGGATTTCAACACAAAGTCATGGATCCATTTCAAGTCAACCACGTTGACGTCATCCAGCGGGTGCTCAAAAGTAAGGCTAGACCCACCGTTGTCATGCTTAATATTCCCATAGCAGCTCGGAACGCTGAACTCGCCTCTGTCTTCCACCGACTGCAGGTAGTGCATTGAAGAAAACATCGCGTTATTTCAGATTTTACCACCCAGATTTTCTGAAAAGTGAATGTGATGAAAATGTAACATGGAAAAAAAACTGAACCAAGAAAAAAATTTTTTTAAATATATTTTTTATTTTAAAGTTGTGGGGTACAGTTAAGGGTTAGGCATACAAATATTCACTGTGCAGGTACCCTTGTTGATGATGTGTGCCCCCCTTTCCCCAGACAGATATTGACTACTGTTAATCCCACCTCCCTTTCCCTCCCTGCCCCCCGATAGTTTCCCCGCCACTGTCAATCCTTTTCTTGCGGTATTACAATAGTTGTTCAAGGTTCACTTATGAGTGAGAACATGTGGTACTCAGATCTTTGTTTCTGTGAGAGATCACTCAGTATTATAGACTCCAGTTCCATCCAG